AAGCAATTCTTCCCTTTTCTGATATGTAGAGAGGAAAAAAGAATTTTCTTAAGTCAGATATTCCTAGTGCTAAAGCCTGAGTCTTCATGTCTTATTTCTTAAAATGTTTTGCCAGTCACTTTTGTTCATTCTCAGGGCTCAGATCCAGGACCTTTGATAGCCTCATGTAAAGACTTTGCCCTTTGTCTAAAATTATGCATCAAGATTTGGCAGAAGCCATCCATTCCTAGATAGGAAAAAGCTGTTTTACGGCATGGGGCCTGAGAGCACAGAACACCTGGATCCTTTCCTAGTTCCCGTCATGCCCCAGGTGTAAGAATGTATGACAAGATTGAATTCTCCGAAGGGATCTCTGAAGCTTTTCCTTTGAGTCTTACTGTCCCTTCTTACTTAAAAAAAATTGAGGGTTTGGATAGTATTATGGTTGAATAGCTCCCAAGGTGAACTGCAGATTACAATATCATCAGTATACTGTCCCCTGTTCCTGAAGTTCTTTCCCAGTGGCCAAGCAAAAAGGTGAGGGCTATCTCTAAAGCTGTGTAGGAGAATTATCCAACTATCTTGTTGTTTTTCCTTTGAAGTGAGATTTTCTCATTCAGAAAGAAACAGGATCTAGGAATCTAGATTGGAGGAAACAGAAAAGAAAACATCTTTCAGGTCCAAAACTAAAAATCAACTTGTATCTCTTAGAATGTGGGAGAGGTTTGTACATGGATCTGCCACTAGAGTATGGATTGTGACTGATTACAGCTTCATTAATGAGGTGGAGGCCTTCTACTATCTGATGTGCTCCTGGAGGTTTTTACCACGGGAAGAATGGGAGTATTGAAGGGGACTAACAAGGCCGCAGAAGGCCATGTTTGAGAAACCTGTCTCTGAGAGGCTGGAAGCTTTCAAGGGTCTCTTCTTTGACTGGATATTGTGTTTGGTTGGGAAATTAGCTGGAATCTTTTAGTTTTATAATGACAGGCATTGCTAAATTTGCTCTCCCAGGTATTCCACTATACTGTTGGCTAATCAGGTCAGGGGGGCCAGGCTGGTATAGTCCCAACAGGTAAAAATCCACTTTGACCTCTGCTGGAACTAGAGAACTGCTCCAAACTTTACTAACAAATCTTTCCCTAGTTAGCAACAGCTGTTCTCCTCCCTAAAAAAAAAATAAGAGAGTTGAATAAAGTATTGGGAAGAACACAAATATGGAAGCAAAAGAGACATATTAAACTTTAGGTCACACAAACAGAATTTAAAAAGTTTTCTTGGGCCTGGTGGAGTTTTAAATGGCTTGTTATGTGACTGGGTTAATACTTGATTTCCTGGCAGCTTTTAACTGACTTGTACTCACAATGAGTAACCAAAAACAGGAAATAGAAGAAAGAAAGAAAAAGGGAGATAAACTTGAAGCCAAAATTATCATTAGAATACCAGAATTAAATAAGATGGAGGAAGCAACCTAGCATGAGAAGAGGAACCCCAAGAGGCTCCAGAGGGGGAAAAATACCTATAGGCAGGACTCAGCAGGTAAGTTTATCTCAGGAAGGCCATCGCAGACAGCTGAGAAGAGCTGAAGTGGCTCTTTCCACAAGCCTGTGAGTCTCTCCTACTTGTTGGGAAAACACAGAGGTGATACATTTCCCCTCCCCTCTCCCACAGGTTGGGACCCACTGGGAACTGTCCATGGACCTGTGAGAAGATGTTCTAAGTTTTCCAGCTCTCTTATTCCCATCTACCCTCTCCCTAATAACTAATATCAGAAAAAAAGTTACAGGATTTGAGTTTTCTGCCAGATGAAAGCCTATGTGGGAAAGAAGGGAAGTGAAGGGAACTAGAGCACTCCTAGAGGACAGAGGAGGAAAAAAAGTAACCAATGGGCTTTTTCTTGGTCTGAATCCATGGACTTCACCAGATCCCTAGAGTAACATCATTTATTGGCTGAATGACTACTTGAATCTTCATGGCTTTAGAACATGTTCCCAGCCACCCCAAAAGGGGGGCCCATGGCATCAGGTGGACAGACCTTATGACCTCCAGTTTTGGGAGAGACGGGGTTAGCTTTCCCCAAAGGCCTTACCTCCTGCCTGCAATTATTGGCTTTTGAGTCCCAAAGGAGTTCTTTCCATGTTCTTGGTGTCCTGAATAAGGCATTGCACAAGACATATGGGAAAGGTAGCAAGGATTTACACTGGTTAAGGGTAAAAAAGAAATAAGCTGTCCAGAGTGAAAGCAAGCTGGTGAACAGTCTCAGAGTAGCCACAAGGATAATAGCAGGTCTCTTTTGTATAAAAATTCCTAGATTGCTTCTCCCTCATGCAAACAAGGCATTTGGGACAGTCGTCCTACTAGAAACTCACTTGACAATGTCAGATTTAAGCTGTCCTATTGCATCAGATATAAGTGAAGAACTTACAATGGTACATTCTGAGTGGTCCCACATACAGGGCTGGTGGTCTGCACAGTCATTCTAGATTCTGTGTGCTCTGCATGTGCCGTGGATCTCCTTGAAGGACTCTTCAGAGTTGTTTAACTGGATTGCACCACCCTAAAGTCCTAGCTCAATAGGACAATGCACGCAGCTATGAGAATGAAGCCAAATCTGTATTAGAGATCCCAGAAAGCTGGAAATTTTAGGAACATGCCAAGGAAAGCTGAAGGAAGCAAGAAAAAAACAGCCAAAGAGAGGGCCACATGGGCTACAACAGGGGCCCTGTGGCAAAACCATAGGGGTGGAGCTGCCCTTTGGAACTCACGTCTCACCCCATGTGCCCTACTTACTGTACATGTAACTATAGGACTCAGTATTTACCCTGCTGGGTTTTGTTCTTGCTTCATTTTGACTCCTTTCTATTACTATATTCCTCCCTTTTAGAATGGGAATATTTACCCTGAGCCATTGAATTTTGGAAGTATTTAACTTTATTTTTCATCATTACAGGTTTTCATAACTAAAAATTTGCATTGCATCTCAGGAGAGACTTTGGACATGAACCTTGGAGTAATGCTGGAATTGTCGAGACTTTGACATCTCTTGGCTCTGAACTAAATGCATTTTGCATAATGAGATGGGCATGAGCCTTTTGGGGGCCAGGTGCCAAATGTTACTGTTTAAATCTAAAATGTCCTTCACAAGTCTCCAGAGATGGGGCCTAAGGAAGTTGATCAGATTATGAGGCCATTAAACCCATCAGATTAACCTACCGAGTTCATAGCTGAATGTGCTACTAGGAGCTAGGGCCTGATTGAAGAAGGTAGGTCACCAGGAGCATTATCTAGAAGAGTACTCCATTGTCTCTGGCTCCTCACTCCTCTGTGTGTTTCCTGGCTGCCAGGAAGTGAGCAGCTTTCCTCTACCTTGCTCCTCTACCATTCCTTCTCTGCTTTTCAGCCAATTAACATTGAACTGAAAACTCTGAAACCATAAGCATAAATAAAGCCCTCCTCCTTTGAGTTGTACATGTCAGGTACTTTGTCCCATTAATGGAAAGGTGCCTAACCCAGACCTAAAATATCCCCCAAATTTCATGTGATCAGAGTAGAACATTTCGGAAGGCGATGTTGTCATGAGCGTGTTCACCTCATCGGCAGAGCACTCTTGTTGAATTAATAGCTGAATGAGCTATTAGTGGGTGGGGCCCTGTTAGAGGAGAAGGGCCACGGGAGCGTGCCTTTGGGAGGTGTATGTCTCGCTGTGCCTCTCTTCCTATCCTCGGTACTGCCTGCTGCCATGAAATAAGCAGTTTCTCCTCCCGTGTCCCTCTGCCGCAGTGCTACTGCCTTGGAGCCAGCCAAGCATGGACTGAAACTGATGAAACCACGAGACAAAATAAACACTTGCTCCTTTAAATTGTGTGCATCAGATAGATTGTGCTAGCAATGAAAATCTGAATAATACACTTGTATTCCCTCCACTCGTGTTCCTCGGCCCATCTCTTAAAATCCGAACATGTTTTAAAATGCAGAACACAAAAATAGGCTCTCTGGTCTGCACAAGCAGATAGGGGTGTGTGTGTGTGTGTGTGTGTGTGTGTACACTGCAGCTTATGTGTTGGCACATGCATGGGCTATGGTGAAAGATATTTTCTCCTGTGTTCCTCTGTGATCTCTGAAATGTTTGGGGTGGCTGGTCTACCCTAGAGAAAAGCTTATGTTTGTTCTTATCTTGGGAATATTGATATTTTTTTTCTTAATTAGAGTAGATCTCACACTGTAACTCCTGAGGATGGAGATGTAGCTCAGTGACAGAGCACTTGCCTAGCATGTGTACAACCCTGGATTCAGTACCCAGAACTGCAAAAATCAAAATAAAAAGCGTGCAACTCATTGCTGTTTTGTAGTTCTCTGATTTTTGCCTTGTCTTTGGTGCTCAAAAGAAAGACCCTATGCCTTTGCTGAATCTCCTGGCCTGAATGCTCCCTCCTAGGTTTGGCTGAAGTTGCATATCACCACCACATACCAGAAACTCACAGCAGAAAACATGATCATTGCAGTCAAGAGGCTGGACAGAGCTGCTGGCTGAGATAATGTGTAGACTGGTTTCTTGCTGTTCTCCTGACCTATCCCCTGATGTCTAGTATAACTTAGTCCCTAAGGAAACATGTATGTTCCTTGAAGTGTCACGACTACTTTCAGAATTTGGGTTATGTGGTAAAGGGAGGCATTAGAACTAGGTGTGCATTGTTTAGGATGTTACAACTGGAGGCTAGTGGGAGTGGCTGTTGCAAACTGCATAAAAATGGCTGAATCTCACAGCCTTAAAAAAGTATTCTTGGCTCATCTTTGGTGCTCAAAAGCTAAAAGACTGTCATAAGGTCCTCATATGATAGCTAAATCCATCAGAATCATAAGAACTCTTCAGATGCTATAAGACAGAAGAGACTATTTTTTATCATGTCCCACCCTTCTCAGGTCACAGGTAGGGAGACAGAGCTAGGAAAGGCTTGATTAAACATTAATTCAGCTGTCACCATCACCCAAAAAGCAAATGCTCTAGAGCTAAGCTCCAGAGTTGTCTGGTGCTCCCAGGCTGAGGAACGGTGACCAGCAGTCATGGCTCACTTTGCTCAGATTCTGGATGAAATAGGTGACTTTGGTCGTTTCCAGGTACAGATGATGATCCTGTTGTCTGTCCCCAACTTTCTCTCTGCCTTCCAGGTTTTTGGCAACATTTTCATGGTCCGGGATGAGGCCCACCATTGTTCGGTGGCCTGGGTCAAGAATCATACTTTCAACTGGAGTGCTGCTGAGCAGCTTGCCCTGAGTGTGCCTCTGGATGCTGCAGGTAGGCCCAAGTCCTGCCTCATGTTTCGGCCACCCCCTGGCAATGCCAGCCTGGAGGACATCCTCAGTCACCGCTTCAATGAGACACAGTCTTGTGAAACTGGCTGGGACTATCCTGAGCATAAACCCCAATCCCTAGTGAATGAGGTAAGGCTGGCCTTCAGTCTGTCTGCCCACTTGTTTTGGGCCTGGTAGTTCCTCGCCCTGATCCTGTACCTTCTGTCACCATCTCTGTCCCCGTGCCTGTAGGGTTTATCGTTGATATGCCTCTTTCTCCTTCTGCCAGCTGGCCTGCTTTCTTTGTCCTCTGTCCATTGACCCATCTACTTTTTGATCATTTTCTGTGTCTCATCTGTCTGTCTGTCTGTTCATTTTTGTCTCCCTTTTGTCTCTCTCTTTGCTTGTCTCTGCTGTCTGTACAGTTGCCTGTCCTTTTCCCCTGTCCTCCTGTTTTCCTCTCTTTTGCCTTCTTTTGCCTTCCAAAGTTCCCATTTGTCCATTCCTGCATGTCTGCCTGGTTACTTATCTTTCTGAGTTTTCCTTCCATGCTGTTTCTTTCCCTGTCCCTTCATTTGATTTCCTGCTTGTTTGACTTCGTACTTTCCAGTTCCTCTCTAGGTCTCCACTTGCCTGCCTATGTCTGGGGTGTTGGATAACACTCATTACTCTAGCACCTAGCCTATGGATAACTAAGTATTGGCGCTTACCAACTTCATTCTGTAGGAGAGACTCAGGTAGATAAACAGAAAGATTCCCGTTCTAGCCATCCCAGGGCAAGGGGCCTTCTGAAAGCATCTGGTTCCATGCTGTTATTGCTTCCGAGGTGATAGATTGAGGCTGGAAGGGGAAGATGACATGGCCAGGACATCATAGTGGAATGATCATGAAGCTGGGATTCCCATGCAGGGCTGCTGCTGTCTAGTTACCTGTAGCTGTAGGAAACAGCATAAGTAGTTCAGAAAACTGAGGGGCATGGGCTGTTAAGAGAATCTGTGTACCTTTCACCATTTTTATGGCTTCAAATCTGGAGCCTAGAGATTAAACATTCACTTTCCCCCCCCCCACATGTTTGAAAATTAATTCAAAGATAATGTTTTAACTAAAGTGAAATATTCACTTTTTAATTTGTGACCATAAACTTTCAGAATACCAGCAGCATAAGAGTATACCTTGCCAATGTCCTCCTGATTTTCCACCCCTTCTCACCCCACAGGAGAGCTAGGCAGGCTAGGGAGTCTCCTAGTCTACAGCTAAAGCCCACCCTGACCTAGGTGGAACTTTTTTGGCCTCTCAATGATCCCTTCAACATAACCCTCATAATATGTTCTGGCCTTCATTAGCTTTCAAATATTGTTGGCATGCCTGTATATGCTCATAAAGTCTCTGCTCACCTATCCAAATATCATCACCCTTAAAGCCAAGAAAGTGTTCCAGATTACTCTGGACCTTCTCTAGTCTTTGTTTACAGCCTGTGCTGAATTGTTTATGCAAAGTCATTTCATCAAAGCCCAGTAATACACCGAGTAACTGGGTAACTGCACAGGGGATAGTCGGAGAAAAGAAGCACCTTGTTCCCCTTCTCCAAGGAGCCCAGTGGTTGGTAAGATCTTGGTCCCTTGTGGAGGAATACAGGCTGAGTGGGCTATGAGCCCTCACATATGCTGCCTTCTGTGAAAGGAAGGAGTAGGTAACTTCCTGAAGGAGGTTGTACTTCAGCTGGGTGCCAAGACACCAAAAAAATGTGGATAGAGAAGAAAGAAATCCTTTGCAGGTAAAAGAAAGTTCTGGCAGTAGGAAGTAGATGGTACCTATAACAGTACTAGGCAACTTGATGTGCCTGGAATAGGGAAGTACAGAGTAGAAAAACTGGACAGGAAGTTTTCAGGGATTTGAGACCTGTTCTTGTGTTTGTGTGTTTGTTTGCTTAGTATACCAGAAAAGAATGCATGTACTGGTCAAATTTCTATTGCTGGAACAAAATACCAGATACACACACAGTGGGAGAGTATTTTGGTCAGGGGTTTTGGCGCATGGTCTCCTGGCTCAGAAGTACAAACGTCATGACAGGAGGACACGGCAGAGGAAACCTGCTCACATTATGGAGGCATAAAACAGAGCGCATGAAAGACCTAAGGAAGAAAAAGCCAGTGACCAGACGTAGTCCCCAAAGTTATACCCTCATGATCCACCAGATGTATTTTATTTGACATCAAAATTAAACATCACAAGTCTACCTCTTGCCAATTTAACATCCAAACACATCTCCCTAAACCATATGTAATCTCTAATTAGACAATAAAAAGACATAATTCCACCTCAAAAGACTTCAATGTCCTACATACAACTGAAAACACTAAGTCTCAAAAGTCTCAGCAATGCTCAAAAGTCCAAATTCAAAGTCTCTCCTGAAACTCAAGGGAACTTTTAGCTATAAGCCCCTGTCCAGATAAATTTTAAGTTACATAATCCCAAAATACAATCTAGCACAGAGTAAATTTTCCATTCTAAGGGAAAAGAATAGAAGGATAGGAAGGAATAAGGAGAAAGCAAACCAAAATTCAGTAGGGCAAACACTAAGTTCTACAGCTCCATGTCTGTAATCTACAGCCAGTGGTGGAAAGATATGAGTTCCAAAGGGCTTGGGCAACACTACCTCTTTGGCTTTGCCAACTGTAGGCTACTCAGAAGGCTCTGTTCATTGCCTACCACTGTCCTCAGCAGACAGTCTAGTATTCCTAGCATCTCCATTTCCTGGAGTCTCCATTGCAGCTTTAGCGTCACTCTCAGAGCTTCATGGATCACTCTTTCAGGGGCTCCCAGAAGAGATTGCGACTCTATCATACATTAGCTGGCCTCCGAGGCCTTCTTTTGAAGTCTTGTTAGATTCCTTCATGATATTAAAACGCTTGTATTCTTCCTACCTGCAAAAATAGCATCACATGGAAAATGCAGTGTCTGCTGCCAACTCCAACAGTAGCCAGCCCTCCTTGGGCCATGCCTCCAGTGGTTTTTGGGTGGCTGGATGGCTGAATATAGGAAAAACTCCCCTGGCATCCCAGAGTGAACAGAACACCCTGAGGCTAGCTTCCTCAAACAAAGTCCTAAGTAACTTTACACTCATTCAACCTAGAACCTGTTATGATTGGAGTCTGGCCAATTCCTGAGATTCCCTCAAGATATCGCTCTTATTGTTCACTGAAAAGTACTTGGCTTCTTTTTAATGACACTAGTCTCAGCAGCCACATCTTCTTTGGCCCCAGCTTTACAATACTTTTTTTTTTTTTTTTTTTTGAGGGTTTCACTATGCAGTTCAGGTTGGCCTTGAACTCAGTTTGTATTCTAGGCTGGCCTCAAACTCTCAGTGATCCTCCTACCTCAGCTTTCCAAGTGCTGGAATTAGGGGAATGCCCCACCCCTGGCACAATCATTTCTTTTCTGACTACAAAGCAAGTTTTTCATATCTTTTTTTAATATTTTCAATGTTTTACTTTTTGTTATTAACATATATATACGATACATGATAATTACATTCATCTTGGAGATTTGGTACATATATATTACATCTTGATCATTTTTACCTATTTCCCATTTTCACTGTAAATTGTTAAAAGCAGTCAGTAATATACATGCTGCAGCTTGAGTAATGGGCTGCCTTGAAATTTCCTCTGCCAGATCAACTAATCCAGTGCTTTTAAACTCAGCCTCACACAAAGTTTTAGAGCATAGACAAAATATAGACAAATTCTTTGCTAAGGTGCAACATTCATAGCCTCTAGCTCAGTTCTCAGTACAGTCCACCTTCCCATCAGAAACTTCACAGCATCTTTACTATCCACATTCCTATCAACATTCCACCAAAATTGTTCAAGTTCTGCTTATAGGGTTCTAGAGCTTTTCTAGACTGCATCTCAACACTTTTGCAAATTCTTCCCACAAACCAATTTCAAAGGCTTCTGAACCATATGGTCAGGTATAGTCACAGCAACTATCCTATTTCTGCAGCACCAGTGTTCTGTATTAGTCATCTTTCAGCTGCTGGAACAAAATACCAAACATGCACAATGTAAAAGGGAAAAGGTTTAGTCTGGCTTGTAGTTTCAGTCCATGGTCAGCGGTCTCCAAAGCACAAACATCATGGCAGAAGTGCATGGCAGAAGAAAACTCTTCATCTCACGGCAGCCAGGAATCAGAAAGTAAGGAAGAGCTAGAGAGAAAGGGGCCAGGGACCAAATACGTTCCCATAGGTCACATCTCTATGACCCACTGAGATATACCCAGAAGGGTGCTTTGCTAATCTCATGGCCATCTCTCAAACCAGTAAAATTGACAATCAAGATTAACCATCATAATATATGCACTAAAAGTTGACAGAGAGAGCACTCATTCAGTGCCACTAAATCTGTAAAAATTAGGATCTGGGGAAGGTGAAAAGATTATCTCAATATTTTTAAAAACTGGAAAGTGCAACCAGAGTAAACTGATAAAATCCCTAATGAAAGTTATGAAGGGTCTTCTAATGACACCATCTTGTACTATTAAGCACAAATCTACACTAAGCATATATGACAAATAACAAACTAGGAACAATGATTTAAAATTATGAACTCAATCTATTTGGTACCCTTCCTTTTTTTTTTTTTTTTTTTTTTTCTTTTTTTTTTTTTTTTTTGTCTTTTTTGAAACAAGGTCTCACTATGTAGTTTAGACTGGCCTTGAACTCACTTTGTAGCCCAGGTTGGCCTCAGACTTGCAGCAGTCCTCCTGCCTCGGCCTCTCCAGTGCTGGGATTACAGGTGTGCACCACCATGCCTGACTTTATTTGGTATTTTTCAAAAAGCACAATATGTTAATTCATTTATCAGTTAAACAAGTTAGAAATTAATTTCCCCAAAAATCAGAAAATGGTAAACAAATATCCTTGAAAGCTACAGTCATATATATAGTACATTTTTTAAAAGAGAGGGGGCAAGATAGATTCTATCCACTTTCATGACCTTCATAAACTACTGGATCTGCTCAATGTCAGAGAGAAAAGGCACTGTCTGAAAGATGTGTTTTTGGTTTTGTTTCAGTACTGAAGAATAAACCTAGAGTATTCCACTGAGCATATCCTCAGTCTTTTTTTTTTTAGACAAGGTCTTGCTAAGTTACTACAATGAGTTCAAAACTGCTATCTTTCTGCCTGAGCCCCCCAGCCTGTTGGGATTGTAGGCGTGTATCAACAGCTCCCAACTAAGGCGTACATTACTAAATGCCAGCACACACCCACTGCTGTTTTTGGATTCTGGACCTTCCAGGGCATCCAGTATTGCCTTGTCGAATGCCCTCTTTTGGCTTCTCTATGTGATTTCAGAACCCTACACTTCACAGACTCACAGACTTTCAGTGGCCTCTGGAGTAACAGGCTTCTGTTTGTTCTTGGTAGATTTCTCAATAGTAGAGGGGTCACATCTCTGAGATCATCCTAGATGTCAGCAAGCAAGGAAGTGGTAGACAGTAAGCAGTGGGTCACTGCAGGCACCTACTTCTCTTTCCCATTTGTAAATGAGGATAAAGATACCCATGAAAGCCTGACTAGAAACACATCTGTTTGTGTTTACTCAGCCTTGTAGTTCATAATCCTCTTTCCTTGCCTTCTCAGAAACTCCTCAAGTCTATGACTCCACTAATCCAGTCACTACACAGGTGTCAAAAACTGTCAGCACATACTCAGATGGAGATTTAGATTTGTTCGTTGTGGTAGATATCAGGAAACAAGATTTACAGATGACACCATTGCTCAGACCAACTTACTTGATTATATTGCCTGAATTATTATGGATCTACTTAAAGATTTATAAGCTAGTGTTGACCTCAACTTCTCTGACAAACTGTTAGCAGCTCTCTAAGACCTCTCTCTTTATCCTCAATCAGCAACCAAGTGTGTACCGACTGGGTTTGACCTCAGATCTCTTACCTACCCTACCACATTCCTCCCTCCTCTACCCTGTAGGGACCGTGACACCCCAGAAAATACATATGTTTTGTATTCTGTGTATCCCATACCACAGAATAATCCCAAACTCTGTTCCAGAGCAGAGCTCCCCTGGAGTGAGATCTATCCTTTCTCCCCAGCTATGAGCAGGGGCTCTGTACACAAACCCAAAAGGTCTTATCTGAGAAGACACCCCAAGTTGCCTTATAACCAGCAGCTTCACACTCAAACTGAATTATAAGCCCTACAATTTTGAAAAGACCACATTTTCTCATAAACTGGGTGCCCTTGAGATTCAGAGCGTTTTTCTTCTTCTCAACCTACCTATGTAATATTTTCTGCATGCCCACCCTTGGAAAGACAAAAACCTGACTCTTGGTCCTGTCAAATGGACCACAGAAGAGCCAGGCAAAAATACCATCAATGTATAGCAGCAACAGTGTGATCTGTCCTGGGACAAAAGGTCAGAGTGAGGGGAAGGATAAGCAGAGGGAACAGGCAACCTTAGCATCTGTAAGCACAAAAACACCCAGCATATCTGAGGAATGCTGACATATCAGAAGTTGGGAAACAAGCAAGAGTCAACTCTTCAGGGGTCTTAGATTCAGTTCTGAGGAATTTGGACTTTGCCCAAGAGAATAAGGGAGCCATTGATGGTTTTGGAATATAGGAGGAAGGGGATATGGTACAAAGTGTTCCAAGAATTGAGGGTGAAATTCTGTAGACTGTGATGGCAGGGCTTGATGCTTGTTAGAGGGCTCACTGAAACCTCCCAGTGCAACAGCAGCTGAGCTAAACAAGTTGCAGGTGGAAATTCCTTTAGTTCTGTCAGGTCACACTAGATAGGACATTTTATCCTTGTTTTGTACATGTGGGAAACCAAGACACAGATTGGCTAACAGGCTAATTCTGACTTCTGGGGTTGGCAGCAGCTGGCCCGTATTTATTTTTATTTACTTTGAATGCTATTTTACTACACAAGCAGTGTATATTTTCTAGACAGGAACGAAAGTAGATGGAACTGGACAGAACACCAGCTAAGTCCCCTGTCCTGCCCTCCTCCATTCCCGGAGGTGGTTAACCGTCAGACACACATTGAAAGGCCTTAGAAATCAAGTTGTTCTTGAGAATAGAAGTATGACCACAGTGGTGACTCCTGGATTGGTTCATTTCTTGCTGAAGGTTATTGTACTGATGCTGATCAGTGATTTAGCTTGTGTAGGCTTTAGTTCATTTATCCATTTACCCATCTTCAGCAAACATTCTCTCACCCTTCACTCAGTTTCAATCTGTGCGAGGCAGAGATGTCTCAGCAACAACAGCTGCCACCCAGCAGTGGGACAAGCATTGACCGCTTCACTTCTCCTCCCTCTGGGAAACATAGCAATAGGTCAAGGGTGCTCGTGAGAATCGTAAGAGGCAAGGCATAGAAAGCATGTAGTGCAGAGTCCTGCACGGTGAGTGTTCGCAGGCATCTGTGTGGTGGCGAAGCTAGATGAGGGCTCACATAGCAACCTCCCCACATTACTCAGGGATGGGGCAGAGATGTGTGCAAGGGGCACACTTCCCTGGGGGGCCCACAGCCCAGCAAGGAGGGTCAACCATGTGCACGGCACAGAAGTGTGCAGAGCTACGGGGACCCGCATATTGTCTTCACTTGGTTCCCAGTCTATCGGTCAGGCCGACTGCAGGTCTCCAGAGGGGTTGGCACAACTTGGCCAGATGCACACTGTCTTTCTATGCTTCTGTCTGTCTGTCTGTCTGTCTTTCTCCCCCTTATGTGTCTGTTCCTCCATTCTAATCAGAAGGCTTGTGTGAATGTTCCTTAATGTTCTGATTGCCTGTAAGTGATGAGCACCAGGGGGATTTTGCAGCCAGATGGGAAACTTGGAGAGGCCCAAGTGGCCACAGGGTGCAGGGACTGTAAGGAGAGGCCCAGTGTGTCACGAAGCAGTCGGTAGATGTCTGTTAAAGGGGTCACATTTTCAGCCTGAGTATGTCAGTCCTATCACAAGGCTTTGCTTGGCCAAAAGAAATGCCTAACTTATTATTTAAGTAATTAAACTCAAACAAGAAGTGTATGTCCTAACAACTTACTAGTTATTTTAAAGACTGATAAAAATTAATTGAAGTTACTTAATTCTTAAATGCAATGACTTACCAGTACGATGTGTGTCTCTCCAGAGCACACACAAGTCCTCAGTCCTGGAATGATGCCACCCATATTTTTGGTCCCTCATTGACTGCACATGGTGTTTGCTTTTTCTCATAGCAACCCCCCAAAACAAGACTTCACACAGATATGATGTCACTGGAAGGAAAGCAGCATGATCTCATGTTCAACTGCAAACTACCCTAGGCTAGCAATATGTGGGATGTCAGGGAGCTGTCAAATATTGTACAAATTTCTCTTTAAGTTTTTAAATACACTGCTACGTTCATTGAGTTCACTATGGTGCACTGGCATGCTTTGGCACACAGTGTGGGAACCATGGGCATCTGTATTAAAACACTAGTAGTGGCCTATGTGGTGAAGAACTTGCCCTTTAGGTTGCCCCTAGACTCACATCTGCCTCTGTCTGCCTCAGTTCAACCTAGTTTGTGATCGAAAGCACCTGAAGGAAATCTCGCAATCCCTGTTCATGGCTGGACTCCTCATTGGTGCCCTCCTCTTCGGGCCCATCAGTGACCGGTATGTACCCTGCCAGCTTACCTCAACCTAGCACTCTAACCTCCTGGTATAGGCCCCTCACATTAGTCTCTGGGATAAAGCCCTCTTCCCCTTTCCTGAAACTGGGCTCCCAGAGAAGGGCCATGTCTCCTCCTGAACAGAGAACCCAGGGCAGGCCCACTTGGTTCTCCCTCACTTCTTCCCCCAAGGTCCTGTCCTCACACAGACCTGCCCTTTTGTTACCTCAGAACTGGCCGAAGAGGCTCCTTCTTGGTGCAGCTGCTCCTATTTGCCATCACTGGCCTGGCCATGGCCTTTGTGCCCAGCTTTGAGCTCTACATGGCCCTGCGCTTTGCTCTAGCTACAGCTATTGGTGGATATACCTTAAATATTACCACCCTACGTAAGTATCTGGGTCTATGGCCACAAGATGTGGTTCTGGGGCCTGGGCTGGCCATGTCCCCTAACTACCTGTGTGGAACTATTAGTCACCCTGCACATGAAGTAATCACAGCTTCCTGTGCTGGGACTGAGGCCTCATCCCTGCCATGTGGTACCTTGGGAACAACAGGGAGTTAGTGGGCTGGTGTGGCCCAGTCTCACCTGTTTGTTCCTACAGTTTCAGAGTGGGTGGGGCCCTCATGGAGAACTCCTGCTGTGGTCCTATGCATGGCCACCTTTGCCCTTGGGCAGATGGTGTTGGCAGGACTTGCCTATGGTGTCCGAAAATGGAGGCTCCTTCAGATCTTCAGCACTGTACCCATCTTGCTGCTTTTCTTCTACTTCTGGTGAGGAGATACTTGCTAGAAGTAGACCTCCCTTGTTTAGCTGTGCTGTGGGGTTGGGTGCAACTCTCCCCTTTACTTTCACCTCTAAGGCCATCAGAGACTGGTCCAGGAGAGGTAGCCTGTGCCAGTTGGCTGTGGGATTCACTGGGAACTGGAATGGCTGGGAAGGCTCCACAGGACTCTGGACCCCAAGGTCATAGCCATTCCTGGCCCACAGGGCTGTCCCAGAATCTGCGCGGTGGCTCCTTATTCAGGGGAGGGTGGAGGAAGCCACGCAATTGGTCCAGAAAGCGGCATTAGTCAACAAGAAGAAACTCACCACAGAGCTCTTAAACCAGGTACTTGTAGCAGGCCCTGACCATCCTTGCCTCAGAGCTGCTCCACTCAGACCTTCCCTGGGCCCCTCCATCTGCATCTCCTTCCAGATGGCCCCAGAAGAGAAAGACCCCTCGGGGAATGCCTTTGATCTTTTCAGACACCCTCATCTCCGGAAGGTGACCTTGATTCTTAGCTGTGTCTGGTGAGTAACCAGAGCCCAACCCTTCCCCAAAAACACAGCCAGAGGGCTGCCATTTTCTGGTGTATGTCAGTACACTGGTGGGATGGTGGCTCTCTGGCTGGGATGGTCTCTCCCCAGTTGCAGCAATGTCTGCTGCCATGACCCTGACCAAGGCAACCTCTTTCTTTTGGTGTGTTGGTATTCTATGTCCACCAGTGACAGCAACCCTTGGATACTCTACAGGTTTGTGAACAGTCTGGTATACTATGGACTCAGCTTCCAAGTAGGGGACTTTGGCATGGACATCTACCTAACACAGCTAATATTTGGAGCAGCTGAACTGCCTTCCCGAATTTCCAGCATCTTCTTAATGGACAAGTGTGGCCGAAAGTGGAGCCAGTCTGGGTCCCTGATTCTGGGTGGCCTCATGTGTATTATCATTACCTTCATCCCATCAGGTACAAAGCCTGTTTCCCATGAATCCTTGCCATCCACCAGAAGCTAGGCCAATGGCAAGGGTAAGGGCTTCCTAGGTTTGAGGTGCAAAAACTGAGGAGTTTGGGTTCATGTGGTAGTAGACAGGTGCTAGGTGTTGGGTGCTCTACCATCTGTGTGCTGACCAGCATCTTCTACCAGGTCTGCCTGAGGTGGTCACTGTGCTGGCCATGGTAGGGAAGCTTGCTATGGCTGCTGCATTTACCATCTCCTATGTGTATGCTGCTGAGCTCTTCCCCACCATTATCCGGTAAGAACTGCTGATATAATTCCAACTCCTTTGCTCCCAGAACCTTGAGCTTTGCCATCCCTCTATTACCTTCACCATCAGTCCACAAATAGGTTGGCTCTGGGCCAGACCAATCCTAAATCTAGCTCCCAAGTTGTCCCCTGGTAAGTGGAGGACAGATACAGAAGTTGGCCATGTCCTGGCCTTTCAGGACAGGCATATGGGATGTCTAAGAATAAATGATTCAGGAGAAGAAACACTTAGGTGGGGAAGCTGGTGGGATGGAGGCTCAGCCTTTAACCTTTGATATGAGAGGTGAGGAGGAATGCAGCAGGCTAACAGAGAAGTCAGAAGTGAGAAGGGCACACAGGAGCAGGGAGCAGGAGCACTGGATGGTGTGGATGAGGGAGGCAACCCTGAAGGCCTTTAGGGGTAGCAGTATGGGGTCTAGGGCAGAGTTATAGCCTGGCAGTGAAGCCAGCTCTGCTCCACTTGTATGGGCCTTACCCCAGGCAAACTGGCATTGGCCTGATGAGCATCTTGTCAAGGATCGGAGGCATCATCACCCCACTTGTAACTCTGCTGGGCGAGTACCATGTGGCCTTCCCCATGCTCATCTTCGGCAGCCTCCCCATCGGGGCTGGTTTGCTCTGTGCCCTGCTGCCAGAGACACGTGGCCAGAGCCTGAAGGACACCATGGAGGACCTGGAGCAGAGGTCTTGTCCACGGTGAGTACCTTTCTTTGCTATGAAGTTCAGAACCTGAGCCTCACATCAGCAGCTCCTCTCCCAGAGGCCCAGGCTTTCATCTAAACTGTTAGTCCATTGTGGCTTAATGCCTGATAAGAATCCCCGTAGAACCAGAAACTGGTTTGGGTCAGATTCCCCCTATTCTGACCAAGGAGGACAGTGAAGGACACTGCCCAAAGACCAATTCCTGGACAGCCAATGACAGCCTTCTGCTTCCAGCAGGTCTCCAAAGGCAGCACCCCTGGAAAAAGAGACGAAGACCACAGAAAAATCTTCCAGCCCAAAGGTGGCCATTGTGAGCAGCTCGTACTTCTGAATGTAGTTCCTAAGAGCTGGACCATCTGTAGTGGAGAATACTCCACACATTCCCTGGATATAGCCAGGACCCATGAGGAGGCAGGCCTAAGATCAGCCTTGCTTACAAAGACAACACACCATGACCTGGTCTTAACCCCAGCCACCCACTTTTGAGTTCAATCCAAGACGCATCTGTGATAGGACCTCCATACTTCCACACTCTACCTCTCGTCCCCAGAGCCCCATCCCAATACCATGTCTGAATTAAGGATTGTGGGTGTTTGCTGGGCTTTTCCTGTACTCTGATAGTCTTGAAAGAAAGGGGAGTGCTACAGTTTCCAAGATGCTCTCAGCCTGGAGTACCTCTGCCCTCAAAATAGTCAAGCCCAGGATAGAGCACAGGGTAGGATCTTCTCCAGTTGCAGAAGCAAGCAGAGGAAATAAACTGTGAAGACATGGACTGTACAAGCCCGTCTCTGGCTCTGAAACTCCAAAACCAACAGACAACCACGTTAGCCCTTCTTGGAAGAACACCCTGTCCTCTGCCTCTTCCTCTAACTGGACATTCTCTCACAGCTTCAGAGCTGGGAAAGGGCCTCACTGTTCCTTCCCTACCACTTCACCCTCCCCACTTACAAACACTCATTGCAGAGACCTGTCTGTTTTGACTTACAGATTGCACACCATTCAACTGAACACCTACTACCTGGCTCTTGGTTGTCCCTGCCACCTAGCTCCTCCCATCCCCTTAGAATAATCCTTCTCCACTTCCAACATCTCAAAATATCTCTGGCAGATAAATGAATAGATGAATGAATTTCTCATTCAGATATGTCTCTCTCTGACCATGGCATCCTGTCCTTCTGGCCTGTTTGCTCCATTGTTCCCATCACACATAGCTTAGGTTTCCATGATATAATATCAAGACAAGTAGCTTAAAATCAAAAGCTTATTTTAGGTCTGGAAGTTGGAAATCTGAAATCAAGAGTGCCAGCCTGGCCAGGTTCTTGGGAGGGCCCTCTTCCTGACTTGCAGATGGTGTGCCTTCTCTCTTTGCTCTGACATAGCCCTCCTCAGTACCTGCAAGTCTTAATTACCTTTGTCTCCTTGTTGAGACAAAATACCTGATGCCCAAAATTAAGATAGGAAAGGCTTATTTAGCTCACAGTTTATGGAGGTTTCAGTCCATAATCAGCTGGCTTCAAGGCAAGATGGCATGGCAGAGGGCAATGGTTCATACAGCAGAAAACAGCAAAACCAGCAAGAGCAAAAGGGGCAAGAAGGGAGGAGCAAGTCTCTTTCCCTCCCTTACATTGTAAGCAGGCTACCCACCCTTGGATATGTGCAACACTCACACCTCCAATCTCAGCATTAGATAATGAACCAATCCCATACTCTAGATTCAACTGCCTTCAAAAGGCCCACCCCCCATGACCATATGAGGCTTTGAGGGAACATCCAGACACAAACCATAACACTGCACACGGGGGCAAATTTCTGCCTCTTCTTCTTATAAGACCACTAATTCTATCCAGAGGGCTCTACTCTCATGATCTTATCTAATTACTTCCATGGCCCAGTATATAAATGCCATCACACTGGGGGTAGGGATATAATATAGAAATCTAGAGGGAAAGCAAACACTCTCTCTATAGAACCATCCTTAGCCTCACTGGGTCCTCTGGTCTGTTGACATTTTCGTGGTCTCCCTACCTCCCTCCTTTCTACTCAGAGGATAGAGAAACCATTTTAACATCTATTGAGAGACAGATCATTTCTCTTGGTTGCTAATGCTGTACACATTAATCCTTTTACCCTTTGGTTGCTCCCATCTACCAAAACCACAACAGTAAGTGAGCCCAATTATCTGCCTGCTCCTTCTCTGCATCCCAGATTACTGGTCATTGCTAGAGTCACATGCTAGGTAGGTCTGTTTCTCTATAAATTTGTTGTCACCAGCCTCAACTGGATCTTTAAAGTGCCTGTGTTCCTAGTCACCTTTCCTAGCCTGTTTGTTTTTCATCCCCACCTGGGACCATTTCTACCCTCCACTCTGCATGCCTTTTCCTTCAGAAATAGGAGCTATGATGTAGCAGCTCTCCAAACTGCCCACCACAAAATCTTTCACTGACCCCTCAACCTGTCCTTCTGCTTCATGACAGAGCTGTCCTGCCTACAGTGGCAGTGGTGCCACTGTAGGTGAGACTCTTCCCCTTGCTCCTGCCTCTGCTCTCAGGTTTGGGAGCAGCTGAAGAGGGAGTATTTTTTCTTCCCTATCCTCCCCATTTCCCCCTCCTTGGGCAAAGAGCCTGGGCGTCAGGCAAGTGCAATTCATCAGTGAATTGTATTAGCTTTTGCCTCTGAGTTTCTTTGAACGTGAGAGAATTCATCTCCTTCTGCAGTTTCTCCTGTGTACAGAGATTGTCAATGTGCCAGCCAAGAGCTCTCTACCAAGCTAGGGTTGGTGCCAGCCACAGACCGTCCAGACCACTTGCCTACAGAGGGACCTGGACAGAACCTTACTACCATCCATATTGGGGCCAGAAAAAGTCCAGCTTCCAGGTCCCCAGGACAGGCACAAGACCTCCTTGGGGCTGAACCTTGTCCTTGGAGGGTGGATGTGGTAGCCCTTCTGGGGCCTGCTTGCCAACCTCCTGGGTTCTTCTCCTTAGAGATAAGGGCAATGATAACCATGTGTCTTGAGTATTCTCCCCAAGTGATTAGAAAGACACTGATATTTACTAGTTTTCTCAATTTCTAATCAAGGGAAACAGTAGTGACCTCTTAATATTTTAGAAAGAAAAGTAACATTTGTAACCAGTAGGCACATGAGCCCAGTAAACTCATGTGTGTAAGAAACTCTGTTTGCTTAAACTCTGCACCTATACCTCTCTGAGCTACTAGGAATTTAGTCTCAGCCATCACTGGGCTCTCTTGTACCCAGTGATCAGACCAGGGACATGTATGCCCTGCACCTATACCTCTCTGAGCTACTAGGAATTTAGTCTCAGCCATCACTGGGCTCTCTTGTACCCAGTGATCAGACCAGGGACATGTATGCCCTGTAACCAGAGCAAAGGGGTGCTCCCTGCCCTTATAATCAGCCTCAGTGATGAGTGCTGGGTCCTAATTGTGCCACCTGCTCAGTCCCTGTGTCCCCAGCAGTGCTGCTAAGTCTGTGAAACTCAAGGGAGCCTAAGGGACCTGGGACCGGTTGTGATGTGCAGACACTGGGCGGCCTACCAAGGGAGGGAAAACCTGCCACCCAGACATCAAGAGAAGTGAGCTCTAAAAAGTGACTGAAGCCATAGTAAGCTGCAGAGTCGCAATGTGGAGATTTCCCATTGATTCATTCATTGGTGGCTTTTTAAAAATATAACAAATACTTCGAACTTTTTTTCTGTGTATGTTGGTATTTGAATACTTTTTGCCAGAATCCTGGATACATGCTAGATCTGCCAATCAGAGATTCAGATAGGCTAAAGTCCCAGTCTTTTGGACTGCTATTCCAGCTTCCCCAGGCCATGTCCTGGGTGGCAAGGTGGAGGAGGAAACTCTCCTACTGTAGGCTCAGAAAGCAGGTGCTGCTGCTGAACAGGGGGATGAGGGGCCTTAGCAACGCTGGGCTCAGACTGCTCAGAGCTGCAGAGCTTCCTCTTCACCAGCAAGCATCCCTCAGTTCCCCTTTGGGGTCTGCCTGGTAGCAACCCTGTGCTGATCCCCACCCCACACCCAAACTAGAAGACTGGAGCCTTGTTCCCACAAAGTAGTAGAGGAGCTTCATGGGGAAATGGGTCAGAAACAGACAGTCTGACCAAAGCTGTTTAGCAGGGGAATGTCCCAGAACCACAGCAGAAGTGTATGGGGCAGGGACAGTCCATTTCAGCTGTACAATCAGGAAAGTTTGAAGCACAGCAGACAATGAAGTAGTATCTGGAAGGATAGGAGAATTTCCCTCAACAAGGGCAGGATTCTCCTGAGAAGGGTGGGTGCTCTAGGGACAGAAAACAGTTGTCACAAAGCCACTGGCCTGCCTCATGTGGCAATCTGCACGACCCACCTTGCCCCATTCCGTCCCTAGGACTGAGGTCAGCTGAGCCCATGCAGCAGAACACCTCTCTGACCAATCCCAGCCCGCCCTCCCTATCCCACTGTGACACCAACTCCCCAGCCAACAATAGAACTCCGCGGTTCTTTCTGTTTCCAAGTGTCTGGCTGGGCCTGGACAGTGGCCAGGAGGGCCCTGGTTTTGGCCTGTGGTCCTGTCTTCAGGTAGGGAGGATGGCAACTGTGATGACACCCAAGCAGTTGTGGGTCAGTGTTCCCAGTACAGATGCAGACTGGAGCCTCCCTGGGCCTGCCTGGTGCTGGGAAGTCTATAGAAAGAGCAGACTGCCTCACAGAAAATAAGAGTCTTCAGGTGTGGCTTCTGGCCATTTCCTGCCCTCAGAGAGAGTGCCGCTCGTGTCCATAGCTCTTCCAGCCCTCAGCTTCCTCTTCTGTATCTTGAGACACCATTGCCTGGGGCCTATCCACCTGGCAGAAGACCTTTGGGGTCAGCAGATGGAAGGAGCATGCCAGGGCCCCTCAGACTACCTGGTATTCAGGAGATGCTAGCGGCACTGAAGGGCACCCGGCAGGGGAGGCAGATCAGCCAGCTCTGGCCCAGAAACCAAATCTCTTTGAGGACAGCAGATTTTCTCCCTCCACAGAAGTCTCCTCTACACACCTCTGCCCCTATGCGTGCACAACCATGTCGGCTTCCCAGGGCCGCTGTTACACACAGACACACTTAGTGACTTATTACCTTTATTACCTTAATTCTGGTCTGGCTAGGCATTCCTTTCCGGAGGCTCTGAGGAGACTCCATTTCCTTTCACAGCTTCTAGAGGCTGCGGTGATCTTTGGGTCATGAAGTCCTTCCAAAACCAACAATGGCGGAGCAAATCTTTCTCTCTTAAAATCCCTTTCTCTGGTTCTGCCTCTCCCGCCTGCTCTTCCGTATTTAAGAACCCGAGATTACGTTGTGTCCTGTCACATAGCCAGTGTCGCCTTATTTTAAAGAAATCTGATGAGAAACTTAATTTTCTCTAAAGCTTTAATCCCCATTGCCGTGTAAGGGGACATATTCACAGGATCTGGGGACTAAAATGTGGTCACCTTTGGGGAGCTTGTTACTCAGCCCCCCCTCCTCCCCTCCCCGCAGCCAAGCCTGCCCCTCCTCTCGCGGTCACTGCCTCTCTCATGCCCCCGATCCTCTTAATAACAGGATCCCAGACTCTGGGGCCAGGCAGGAGGCATAGACAGTGAAAGCGCAGATGCTGCTGGACCCTGCTGGGCCTTCTATTGGAATAAATCAGAAGCGGTGGGACCTATGCGGAGCGCGCTGGGCCGGGCGGGGCGGCACTGGTCAGCTCGGAAGGTGAAACCGAGCCTTCGCGAAACCGGCGGGAGGCGCTGGCGGCTGCTGGAGCGGCGGCGGCGGCGGCGGAGCCTGTGTCCCGGTCCCCCAGGCTGCTGACTGTGCCACTCCACCCTGGTCGGGCCGGGCGGGACCTGGGAGCAGGGTGATCCCGCGGCGAGCGGAACCGTCCTGGCCTCTTCTAAGCCGGGACCTCTAGACCCACTCCGGCCTCGCCGGGGCGGCCCGCTGTCCTCCAGCGTCTGAGAGAACTTTGCAGCGGGCTGGGGCACCCTGCACCGAGCGGGGAAAGGACAGCGCTTCCCTGAGGGTGCAGCCCGGAGGCCCTGAGCGTGAGTCGTTCGGCGCCCTCTGTTTTGCATCCCTCGGCCCCCGCCTCGCTACCTCGCCGGGCCAGGAACGCCCTGCCGAGTACCAGTGTGGGTCCCGGGCCCCGCGCCACCTGCCCCCCGCCGGTCGCCACCGCTGCCAAGGGGCAAACCGGACTGGAGGCGGCCTCGGAGAAGAACCGAGCAAAGCCGGCCGCCTGGATTTGTGGGCCGGACGGGAGTGGTTATTCCTGAAATTCTGTCACGCGGGTGTAATTTCAGTGTTGATTCCCCACCCGAACAGTGGAAACAAAACGGGAAGATTATAGGACAGTTTGGTTCTGCTCTTCCCCCTCCTGACTTAAAGGGCCCACGGTTTTGTCTTCTTTTTAACTGCATATTTTGAAAGTATTATTATTTAATACAGTCAACCAGTATTTGAATTTGTTTACATGTTTCCCGTTTGGGCTGATCATTATTGCATCTCTGGGTGTCCTCCTAGGACCGTTTTCCTTATCTTTTATAAATTCCATTAGATCAGGTCTCTTGCTTGTGTGCTCTATCAGTTTCTGCTGATAACTGTCCTTTCCTGTACTTCTGTTGGTGAAATTTTGCTGAGTATACAACCCTAGACTGGCTGTACTGCAGTCTGCTACCTACGGTTGGAAGACGTTCTTCACACTCATTGGTTGAGACTCCTGGCGCTGCCTTTGGAGTGATCTGTGCGCTCTCCAGTGGAGCTTCAAGGTCTTTGTCACTGACTGTTAGCCCTGGTTTTCCTTTTCATTCATCCTGCTTGAAATAAGTCTTTTTTTTTTTTTTTTTGGTACCAGGAATCTAAAGAAATGTCTTTTTTCCAAATCTTGATGACTCATGCCTTTCAAGTTTTAGAGAATGTATTGTTCCTATCTTTTCAAATACTGCTTTTCCTCTCCTTGTGGGTTTTCAATCAGACCTATGTGAAACCTTCTTTACCTTTCTCCTTTCAGCTGTATATTCCTGTTCACTAACTCTGTATGTTGACTCTGTTTAACCTTCCTCTTAGGAAAGTTAGGGTTTTTATTTCAACAACAGCCTGTTACCCATTTTCTTGTTTATAAGTTCACTGTCTTCCTTCCAGAACTATCTCTTTTTCCCTGACTCTTGTCATACTTTCATTTTTGTAATGGCAACCTTTAAAAGTTCTTATACTGTCTTCTACTCTACATCTGACATCTCTGGTCACTGTAGCCAGTCTATGGTCTCTGGGTTCTGGTGGCTGTCAGAGTGGCTTGCCTTCTGAGACCACAGCCTCTATGCCTGATCTTGATCTGTGACTGTCTCACAGGCTCAACTGGGAGAAATTTTCCTCAGGGAGAACTTGCTTCTATTTCTGCTGGTGGCCAAGAGATGCCATGGACCAGAACTCTTTTTCTTTTGTTTAAGTATACTGAGGGTTTGGCCTCAAATGAGAGCGTTAAATTCAGTTTCTATTCTTTCCTGCTGCCCCAGAGTACCATGTTTATCAGTATTGCTTGCCTCCCTCCTCCCGCTTTGCTGCTTCTCCACTTTGGCTCTAGGGCACTGTCTGCCATCTGTGGTTTTCAAGCCCTACATTCCAGCTTTGTGTGCCGAGCTCAGCCTCGTGGGCCGAGCTCTATAACCGAGGCTTCCAGCTGCTTGGCTCCAGCTTTTGGTCCCTCCTGATGCAGTTGTTTGTTTGTTTGTTTTGAAAAGAAAGGCCCCTGGAGATCTCTCCTACCTTTTGCAGTTCCACTGATGGCTCGGTGTGTGTACAAACAATTTCAGTTGTGGGGGAAGCTCAAAGACCATTTCTCAGAGCTTTATCATTCAGGACAACAGAAGAGCATTTTCTAAAACACTGACAATCTTTATTGGACTAAAAATCAAGGGTGATTAAGCCAGAAGTGGGGAAGCAAATTATAGCGAGCTAAGGAACCTTAGAGGGAAAGTTGGGAACCATGAAATCCATGTTGCTCCCAGCCAGAGGTCACTTTCTGCCAGTGGCACCCATGTTGATATTTGACGTCTTGGAAGTGGTGCCAGAAAACTGAATTGCATCTTTTCTTTCAACAGGTGGAAGGAGAAAAGGGCTCCAAGGCGTAGTTCAGGTCCCATGGTTCTAGGATCTTGAAGTAACGGACAGCACCAGTGCCTTTTCATACTTGGACCCTACAAATGCCATTGAAGGCGATAAACAACAACGATGTTGCATTTGCCAACATCCTGCATGCACTGGGGGAATTTGGCAAATTCCAGCAGAGGCTGGTAGCTCTCATCTTCATCCCCGGCATCCTGTTGGCCTTCATGTATGCTGAGTGCTTTGTGTTCGCAGACCAGAAGCACTACTGCAACACCAGCTGGATTCTGGCAGTTGGCCCCAACCTCTCAGAGGCTGAGCAGCTCAATCTGACCCTACCCCGAGCACACAACGGCAGTTTCCTGACATGCCTCATGTATTTGCCTGTGCCTTGGGATTTGGAGTCGATCATCCAATTTGGCCTCAACCACACTGCTACATGCCAAGATGGGTGGGTCTATCCTAACTCCACAACTCGATCATTGATCAATGAGGTATGCTTCATCCTGGGTTGTCTGTAGCTAGCAGCAAGGCCCAGAGATGCTAAAGGTGGGTAGCAGTTGGCCTGAGGTCACCCTGCAAAAGTGGGCCTTGACAGAAATTAGGGTTCCTGTTGCCCACTCCTGGCCCTGCCTGCCTTAGCCCTAAAGGTAGAGTGCCTTTGGGGGTAAACAGTGGGGGATAAGGTGGCAGGGTTGGCCCCAACCCTGGTTCTGAAGTTGTGACTCTGTCTTCTGAACTCACAGAAATAGGGACTGGAAGGAGTCAGCTTCTCTCAAATGTCTCTCAGAGGACCTCACAATCTGAGCTGCAACCTGGGTCCTTTCTGGTATAGACCTGCCCCATCTAAAGCTCCAGGTTGGAGCCCAGCACTTGGGCCCTCAGTGATTCATATCTGTGTTCAGTTCCCTCACCTGTGTTTCCCCTTCCTGGCCTGTGCCTCTGGTCCTTCTCTCAAGACTGAACTGTCTCTCAGGTACAGGGAAGGTACAAAGGTAACAGAGCTGAGGCACCCTGCCCACAGTTACCTGCCCGTTCCCCACATACCCTCTGCCTCAAGGGCCCACCTGGGCCAGGCTCTGTCTCTATCTAGAAAGGCTGAGCCTGGCTGGAGACCTATGGTGAATCCCTGTGTCTAAACCCCCAGTTTGACCTAGTGTGTGGCAAGAAGCCAGATGAGGAAAGCCTGCAGTCCATATCCATGGCTGGCTTCCTGACAGGATCTCTCATCTTCGGGCTCATAAATGACATGTGAGTCCCCTACAGTTCCCACTAGTCCTGGGGACACCCTACCTCCTCCTCGACAGCATTCAGTTAATGAGCCTCAAGGTAGGGGGAGGCTAAGGGAGAGCTGTCAGCCCCAGGGACAGCTGAAGGCTTGGCTCAGGAAAGCCCAGCACTTGATGCACCCTCACCTTGACACCGTAGGCTGGGCCGTTACCCTGCTATCCTGATGTCACTGCTGGAGCTGACCGTCTTCAACTTCGGAACAGCTTTTGTGAGCAGCCTTCACCAGTATTTTTTCTTCCGCTTTCTTGTCTCCCAAGCAGCGATGGGTTACACAATCAGCAGTGTGTGCTTAGGTGACACTGGGCCTCAAGGGAGAGGGATGGATGGGAGCAGAGATGCAGGGAAGAAGGTAGAAGTGGAACAGGGAGAGGGTTCAGCCTAAACAAGATAAGATGAGCTAGGAGGAACCTACCAGAAGCCAATAGGACACAGTCAGTGCCTGAGCAGGGAAGGTAGAAGTGGAGGGAGGGCTTAGAGATGCCAGAGCATCAGCACTCAGAATGCCTATCTTTCTCACCGTCCACTCTATTTCCATTGTACCTTTCGTATTCTCCCTGCACACCCCTTGTAGACTCCCATGTGGCTGACATTCACTGACCCCAGCCCAAGGGACTCAAGAACCCTGCATTTGCACTGGATCATTTCATCCGGACAACCCTCTATTCAGTATGCACTATTCTATTATTCCTTTAGTTGAGAAGGGTATTTGTACCCAGCATCACAGAGAAGTAAGGACTCAAGGTTTCAACCCAGGCTTATGTGATGCCAAAACCCCAATGCACATACACTCATCCACTGACTTCAGAAGGTTCAGTGACTAGACTCTCATACCTGAGATCCCTACTGTGCTGGGGATTTCTGAGCAGGGAACGTTTTCTCACTGGGAGCCTTCCAGGGCCCAGACAGAAAGAATTGGTCCTCCACAGACACTTGGGCCTCAATAACCAAAGCACGAATGCACCTAAAGACAAGGACAGTGATTCATCGCCGCCTTGTGTATCTGGACACATGTGTGCCATAGTGCCTAGAAGTCTTCTCTGTTAGATATCATGGTCAGGCTGGAGACATAGAGGGATGAGCCAGGTAAGAAAGGATGGGAGGTGAGGTAAAACCTGGGATGCACACTATGCGGACACAAAGGCACTCTATGGTTTTCAGGGGTGTCTCAGGCCTAGTGAAGGACATGAACAGGGAGAAAAATTTTTTGCCCAGTCTGAACTCTCTAGCACAGGACAGGGGGATCTCAGAAGGCTGGATGTAGGGGCAGCCTGGACTAAAGCTGACCATCGTTTGGTCCTCTTTGCCTCTGCACAGCCACTGAATGGCTAGTGGACAATCACCGGGCCCACGCCATCTTCCTGGAGCACTGCTTTATCTCTGTGGGCGTCCTGTCCCTAATGGGACTCAGCTACAGCCTTCCCCACTGGCGGCTGCTGTTCCTGGTGGGTGGGGCACCTATGTTCCTGTTCATCTTTTACATCTGGTAAGCAAACAGTTTCCAGGTGTGCACAGACCAGGGTCTGATGGGTAGAGATGAAGGGTGTGGGAATGAGTAGGGGTTTTTTTTCCCAGAAAATGTGCATGTGGATCAGATGAGGAGTTTGGGCAAAGCCTCTGAAACCCCAGCATTGCTCTCCCCACAGAAGAAGCTCTGATTCCAGAGAAGTAGGCAGAAAACCAGGCGAAAGAAAGGGTACTAAAAGGCAAGGGTTCAAGAACAGGGGATGGTAAGTGTTGAAGGCAAGAGAGGTGAGGCTGAGGAAGGGCAGGCTTATCTCTGTCTTTAGGAAACAGATCGGCCCTCCCCTAAGCTGTCTTACTGACTGGTGTACCAGGGAAAGCCCTCAAGCCTCTGAATCAAGACACCATCCAGACAGGGAGAGGGCAGACTGCCTTTCTACAGAGTTCATCAGGACTCTATTATCCTGGCTACCGCAGATGAGAGCAACATGATTCCATCCAGAGATTCATTCAAAAGTCTTTCCCTTCCATGAACTGGAGTTTCTAGACTGGATACGTGCATAATCCCCACTGGGCTGTGTTGCTATGTTTTTCTTTATAAGTCCTGCCCTCTATATGGTCATATCTCTCTATAAATTCAAGGTTTTTATCTATTCTTTCCAGCTTTGGGACTTCATTGTTTCAGATAAAATTTGGGGACAGAAAGATTCACTTAGTTGGTACACTACAGTTCCTTATTTTCTGATTTTTTCTCAACAGCATTTGTATCTTTAGTAATATAAAATTGCAAAACATTTCAACTGTTCTTCAGGACACAACTTAGAATTTCTTGCTTTTTTCCTTCTGATTCCCCGCAAGATATGTGTCTTCCTGGATCACTCTGCTTATTTTGGATCCTCTCAAATTTGGGAGTTTTGGGGGCTGGGGATTTAGCTCAGCGGCAAAGCGCTTGCCTGGCAAACGCAAGGTCGTGAGTTCGGTTCCCGGTACCGGAGAAAAACCAAAAAAAAAAAAAAAAAAAAAAAAAAAAAAAATTGGGAGCTTTTTTTCAATTTCCAGTGATCTCTGATTATCCCTTCCTATTTAAGGAAGAGTCCCTAAAAAGCTAATGGGAAACACCAAGGAGTAGCTAACTTGTAGATCACCACAGGAATGGATCTCAGATTTTGTGAACATCAGAATCACTCTGGAGCTGGCTAAATGCTAGTGGCTAGACCTCTCCCAAGAGTTTCTGTCTGCGGGGGTGGGGTACGCCTGAGAATCTGTATTTCTAGCAAGTTCCCCACTGACACTGATTCTGCTGGCCAGCTGACCACACTGAAAACCACTACTCTCGAGCACCTATTCCGTAAACATTCCAAAGCCAGGTCGTTCTCTAGCTCTGGCTGTTGTATTGCTGGGTAAGGTTGTCGGGGGGACTCTCCTCATCATTGTAAGAACTTCCTTTCTGTTCCCTCGTGTCTATCCTCAACCCCTGCTCCTGCTGTTGTGTTCACTTCACCAGCCTGCTTTACCTTCTAAGTGCGGATTACAGAGGGACTGGAGCAGTTCCATCTGTGAGAACTGGAGTCCAGTATCCTCTGGAGCCAAGAGGACAAGCTCCCACTCTCCCAAAGTATAATGTGTGACACAGGCTTTGCCTACTGTCAGTCTGCTCTGGCTACTATATCAAAATACCTTAGATGGCATAATTTATAAACAAAAACGCTTTCTTCACAGTTCTTGAAACTAAGAAGCCCAAGATCAAGGCCCCCACAGGTGTGGAGTCCAGTGAAGGCCTGTTTCTCATATAGGACAATTTCTATGAGGTTTTACATGGAAGAAGGGAAAAGCAAGCTCTCCTGGGCCTTCTTACAAAGCCACTAATCCCACCTCTTAATACTACTGCTACTGGGGAAAGGTGACCATCATGAATTTGGAGGATAAAAACATTCATCCCACAGCACCTGCAAACTCAGAAGTGTTCCACACACTTTCAGGCTTCACAGCATGAATGCTGCATCTCTCCCACCGCATCCATTTCCTCCTTTCTTTGTCCTTGAAAATTCATTAATTATTCCTCTGTGTTTTAGTGGGCACATGGTCAAGCTATCTTTTTGAAGAAGTTCCAGCTTGATGACTTTCTCTAATTAAGAGTGTTCTGCAGCCTTCATTTGGAAAAAGATAACTGACTGCTAGACTCGGGGAAAAGGGCAGGAACAGGGCAGCCAGCAAAAAGTCAACCCTAGTGTCCAAAGTGTATGTTTTTTAGAAACCAGCTGTAGTGTCCAGGCTGGGGAGGAAAAATGGTGCAAGAAATCTGCAGGGAGTCATGGCACAGTTTTGTAGGGTGCCTGAGCAGGGGCCACATTATACCAGCACACCCTCTATGACCTTAGCCATGTCCTTAACCCCTGAGGCTTGGAATAATACAGGATTATCACATGAGGTCTAGGGATAGGCAAAGGTTAAACAAGATGCTATATACGTGCATGAATTCTGATAACCTGAGGAGACTCGAAAAGCTGAGAGGGGAATTTATTTTGAGGTCAAAGGCAATGATACTTAGAGGAAGAAATGAGGGAATGAGCGTTTTACTCACCTCTCCAAGCTCCCAGGCAGGGTCCTGGGCCCTAGGTAAGACCCAGGCTTCTGACCTACACTGTTCAGGAGAAACCCCAACCCTAGGAAAGAGATCTTCACAGTGCATATGGTCACGGAGTATGTGCCCTGGGTGTGTTCAGGCAGGTGAGGCCAACCCCTAAGGTAGGAAAGCAGGGTTCTCTTAGAGGTGAGTGAGGGTAAAGGAGGCTGCAGGGCAGAGGCAGCAAGTGGCCAGTGTTACCAAGCAACCATGGGGGCTGTGTGTGGCTTGGACAGGGAATGGGTTGCTTGCCGGGGACAGAAGGCATCTCAAAATTGGACTCAAGGCCCATGAGTCACCTTATGCTAGAGCAGGATGGGCACAACTGAGGTTGGGACAGGACAAACATGGCTCTCTGGGGGATCCCAGAATAGTGAAATGAGAGGGTTGGGGCACACAGGAATCTCCCAGAGTCCCCACGGTGGCTGATGACGAAAAGGAAGGTGGAAGAAGCCAAACAGGTGCTGTGCTATGCAGCCAGTGTGAACAAGAGGATCATTCCTTGCAACGTGCTGAATAAGGTAAGAGGCTTCAGGCCAGGAAAGGGACCAGGACTATGGGTCATGGGGAAGCCTCTTCCGTTATCCTTCTGGTTGGACCTCAGCCATGGGGTAGCTCGGCCCATTGCTCAAGGACAGTGATCACAGCAAAATCAAGCCCTGCCAGGACCAGGCGGGAGACCTAGCCCTTTGGGAGTGGGCTGGTTTTACAGGTCCAGTGGGGCAAGGAGCAAGCTGGACTCAGCCTCTCCTCTCACTAGTCCTGCTTGTGCTCTAGTTGCAGCTGCCTGGAAATATGACAACTGAGGCATCTGTCCTAGATTTTTATAACAATAGGCACCTCCGCAAGCTGTTCTTGATGACAGGCTGTGTCTGGTGAGTATCCAGGGCTGTGGGCAGGCCACGAATTTGAGAGGAAATGGGGGAGTAGGCAGGCTACAAGAGGAGCAAAACCTAGGAACACATCACACAGGTCCCTACGCTTCTCTCCCTGGTCCCCACCCCTCTCTTCTTTGTCTCTGTCTTATTCCTGGCTCTGTGTATGTGTGTGTGTGTGTGTGTGTGTGTGTGTGTGTGTCCTGACTTCATTGCAGGTTTACTGTCAATTACATCTATTTTATACTGATCTTTAAAATGAGAGACTTTGGAATGAACCTTCACATCAGGGAGGCCAGTTCTAGCATCATGAAGGTACCCATTCGGCTGTGCTGCATCGTAGTCCTTGAGTGCAAAGGGAGGAAGTGGAGCCTGATTTTGACTCTCACCCAAACCACCATCATATGTGGCCTCCTTTTGGTCTTCCAAGGTACAGTCCACCTTGCTACCAGCCTCCCTACCTCCTTGGAAACCTCCCCAGTGCCCTGGGCTGGACCCTGAATTAGGCACCTTGAAGTTGACCCCTTGTACACCCTGAAAGAGCCCCACAGGACATACTCCCTCACCCACTGAGAGGTCTGAGAGAAGAGATCGTGCTGTCCAGGGCAATCATCTTTGTGTAGGAAGGAAGGCAGGCTTCTTTCCCTGGTTCCAACCCACATCAGAAGTAGATCTGGTAGTCACAGGTGAAATATTCCTCTAGCTACTGCCCTGGCCCCTCTCTCTGCAGCCCGGCTGGAGTCTCTGTTGTTATCTGGGACTTTGAATATAGTATATTCACTGAAAACTGGGTGAGTGAAACGTTGAGCCCAACCACAGGACTAGTTCTTGCTCAGAGGCCTCTCCTTCCTGAGCCCTCAGTACCCAGCTCCTGAGGCTCAGCACTCAGAAAGGAAGAAGGCAAGTGCTGGAAATATCCCCAGCAATTCAAGAGCCCTAGGCAATGAACACACATCAGGTTATGGAACTGGTTCTTTCAGTGATGGGCTGAGGCAGGGGACTGATAACAGAGGAGTTGCCAACCTTGGCAGACAGTAAGCAAGAGCTGCAGTCCCAGTCCCTCCTGAGTCTGTGTTTATCCTTCAGGTTGTGCATCCAGCTGCCCAGAGGCAGGTATCCTGAAGAGTCTAGACCAGTCCCTGCAGTGCAGACCCCTGGGATTAAACACCCCTTACCCAGTTCATCTTGCACAGATCAGGCATGTGGGAACTCAGCTCAGCATGGTGGACAGTAGCCCGAGAGGCCTTTGGGCCACTTAGCAGGAGACCCAATGGGCCAAACCCACCTCCCCAGCCAAGGCTCCCACTACAAAGGTACAAAATGCCAGCCTGGTTGGGCCTCCTCTTACTGAATGCCTGAGTCTGTGGGCCAGCTGACTAAGTGGCCCGGATGCTTTCTGCAAGCGATTGAGAAAGGGCTGATGAGCCCCAAAGACAGGATGGCCCCAGACTCAGGGGCCTCTGTTGTCTAGATAAAGGGTTGAAATCCGCCGCGATGTTGATGCTCGAGCTTGGAGAGTCCAGCATGGCTGCCACTGCCACTGTCCTGTTCATCTACACTGCTGAGCTCCTCCCCACTGTCCTCAGGTATGGGGTCTGGTGGTTGAGGAGGCCATGGGTCCAGGGGCCGTAGGGAGAGATGGAACAATCACAGGATTAATGCAGCGGCTACGATTGAGCTTCCACCTGGTGACAAGCACTGTGCTGAGCAGTTTTCCTGGATTACCTCCCTTAAGCCTCACCAAAAAAATCTCTCAAATATGATCATTAATCCTATTTCAGGCAATGAAATCAAAGTTGTAAAGGCACTTATTCAAGATTTCACATAGCAAGACGTAAAGCTGGGAATGGACCAGGGCAGTCTGAAGCCAGTTCCTTCCCTCCCTCGCTGCCGAGAATCCATGGGCCACCCTGAGCCTCAGTTCCTTCCCCACGGGGGTCCTTGTTGATGGCAGCTATGGCCACATCTTCCTACTCACCCCGCATCAATGGCTATGTCATCTCCCCACACAGTACTGCATGGTTCTTACTTCTTCCACTCCTGACACCCAGGAAGAAGGTCCAGAAAAATTACTACCTCCTACTTCGAATCAATGAAGAACTAAATTCTTCCAGGTCACACAATGAGCTAGGACAAGGCAGCGAGTAGAGGGCTTGGGGTTTCAGGTAGCTTCTCACCAGGGCCTTCCAGGCCTCTGCCTGAGAAGCCTTCCAGACCAGCTCTCACCTCTACTTTCAGGGCTACAGGCCTGGGGCTGGCAATTCTGGCCTCATCAGGTGGAGCCATGTCATCTGAGATGATCATCCACCAGGTCGTGTCCCTCCGGCCCATGGTTCTTTGCTGCATCTTATCCTGTATGGCCTTATACTTCTCCTTCCTGCTGCCAGAAGATCAGCCCCTCTCAGACAGTCTGGAGCAATTCTCAAAAGCTAGGTGGGTGTGTGATGCCCCCTGATCTCAATCTTTTGATGTTGACAATATGTCAGGCACTGTCCATCCCTGCCTCTCTTCCATAAGGGTTTCTGACATGAGGGCCACCCTGTGTCCACAGCAGTTGCCCCAGCTCTTCTGGATGCTGATACTCCCCTGATCCAACCAGTCTTTGCCTACTCCCACCCTCCTGGCTCTCCTGCTCCAGCCTGGGCCAGGTTCTTTCTCCTCCCTGCCCCATCTCCTGGGTTGGAGTGCTACCCTTGGAGATTTCCTCCAGAGGTACTTCAGAAGTCCTCTGTCTTCTCCCCTCCTAGGTAAAGGGAACTGAGTACCTCTCTGAGTACCTCTCATTTCCTGTCTCAACTTCTATTTCTTTATAAAGGACTCAGACTTCATTATTGACTTTGACATTCTAGTCCCTACAGGCAAAGACCCCATTTGGGAACTGGGCTCCATCCAACACCTCCATTGGCACTTGTAGCCTCTGATCTCCTAAGTGTCCCCTGGAGAAGATTTTTCATGATTAGCAAAACCATGCTTTCTGGGAACTGGGCCAGGAAACCCTGTCATTTTCTCCCTGGACTTGAGAGGACCTGAGCACCAATTTAGGCCATGGTGGCCCAAGGTTCTACAGTGTTCTGTGCTCTGTGCTGTAAGGATTGCTGCCTCTGGCTTTCCTCTGCCTCATTTCTGCTCTCTTCCTCCTTGCCCTTCTTCAACCTCAGTGAAACCACCTATAGTAGGCTATGAGAGGCCACAGGTCCCCACCTTTGAGCTAGCCATAGTTTATGGGGAGACAGACATGCAGTTATCACTACGGCCTCTGACAATGTGTTGTACAGTGGCTGTAGCAGCCAAAGGATGGAAGAACTTTGGTTTGGGAAGTTGGGAAAAGTCATAGAGGAAGTGACATTTGAGTAAGGCTTTGAAGGATGAATAGGAATTTGTCCCATTATGAGAGTGGAAGTACAGTGCAGGGGCAGTGCAGATTGAATACATAGTGGGGAAGAACACACATGCTAGAGTCAGAGAGGCTAGATTTGTAGATTTCTATTTTTGTGCTACCATTTCTTAGTGCATGCACTGTGAGGACCTAATACCTCTGAAGACTAGTTTCTTCATTTGCAACATGCAATAGCAGTAATAACTACAGGCAACATTTTTTGAGTTTACCATATATCAAGCCTGTTCTATACATACCTCTTCTTTGTCCTCAAACCAAGTAAATGCAAAATAAGGCTTCTCACTATTCCCATTTTACAGATGAGGAAAATTAGGCACAAAGAAATAAAGCCATGTAATCCAGCCTTCTTCCCCATAGGATTTTTGAGAGTGTTAAACCCACATAAAGTGGTTGGCATAGGGTCAGCTGCAGCAAGTACTGAGTAAGTGCCAGTGATGAAGGTGTTGGAATGTATTCTAAAGAAAACAGAAGGATTTGGTTGGAGTTGGGAGATAAAGCCTGCCTGCTCCTAGAGATGAATGTCCCTTTCAGGCCAATGGTGAAGCTTGGCTGGGAACCTATAGGAGCAAAAGAGCTCATCTCTTGGGAGTGCAGCTCCAATGATGACTTTTCTCAGCCTGCAGAGAGAGATGGCCCAGAATTCTGAAGACACCTCCAGAAAAAGAAACAGTGATGTCATGGACATGGCAATGGCTGAAGATTCAACATATGATGATGTGTCTGAAGAAGCAGCAAAAAACACAATACTCAATGCCCAAATTTCAAGATTGGAGGAAGACATTTCCACTAACACTGCCTTGTAGAGTCCACAGCTAAGAAAGTTCACAGACAGGCTCCTTGAGGACCAGGCCCCCAGACCAGTGTGTGTTAGAGTTGAGTGACTGGATACGTTTATAAATTCCAGGCCCTGTCTTGGCAGGGTCCAGTCAATTTGCTCTGAAGCAAATCCTCAAGATACAAAAATGATTCCTCTTGCAATGCTAGGCTGTGATTTATTCTAATAAAGGTATCATGTTGCTCTTAAGATGGTTTGATCAATGTTGGAAGTGTCAGGAGAACCCAGAGGCCCTGGCCTGGAAGAAGGGAGTCAGAGAGGCTCCCAAGATTCCTCAATGTCTCTGGCTAAATTCTTACAGAGAGTGAGGAGCTCTCTGAATGGGTAGGGATAGGGTAGGCAGTGTCTCTGAAGGCCAGAAGTAAGCAAGGGCCAGACTGTACCTTGCCATCCACCACACTCTCTACCCCAGACATCTGACACCACATGGGGTCTTAGTTCAAGCACAGGCCAACGACAGATTTCAAAGCCCCACTTCAAGCACCAGGCAGGGCAGAGTGAGATGTAAAGAAACAGGAGACCTTCTCTCATTTGTCTCACTGCACAGACTTGTTCACTGTTTTCTTTTCATGCTTCTAAATAAGCATGAGCTCAAGGGTTAACCTTATCAGTCCTCATCCTAGGAGATGCTTTCCTCATGGCTCCTGCCTTGTTGGCCTCTGACCTCCATTGCCTGGAGAATAAGTCTCCACACTCCAGCTTACAGTCCCTGCTGCCCTAGACAAGTCTTTTCCCATCCAGGATCGGGTTTCTCCAAACAGAGCCAAGACTCCATCCATAACGAGATTGAAAAACTCCAGTGTCAGGCTCCTCTCTCCATCGATGAGGAGTTCCTGATGTCAGAGCCTGCCTTATCCTCTCCACTCTCTCCAAGTGTGTTGAAATATCATGAGCTTGAAGGGAAAAGTTTCTGTCTAAATCCTAGGAGCTTCTGAGAAGAGGACAGAAAACTCTGTCAGTTTTCATACAGCCAGAACAGTACTCTGATCTCACATTCTTATCACACAGGTGTATTAATGTAATGCTAAATGTTATACTGGATCAGTCAGTGCTTACTAGAGAAACAGATTTAATGCAAGATATACAAACATACTAATTTACAAGATTGGCTTATAATGGCTACCCACAGGATCAGGTGTGGACGGGTACAAAAGGTCTATCTCCATACTGGAGATCCAAAGGATCTAATTGAAGGCCTGGAGCCCATCACAGTGTCCCATGTGAATCTGTATCAGGAGGCCAAAGGGTCTGTAATGGAAGCCTGAAGAATCTGTGCTGGAGGCTGAAGAGTCAGCTCTGGAAGCCAGGAGACGGTGCCCAAGGTTAAGGTGAAGACTGGAGCTCCTCCAAACAGACAGAAACAACCCTTCTTTCACCATTTCACTTTTATACCATTCTGGTAACAATCCTCCCTAGGGTGGGTCTTCCATATTCAGAGCTATCCTGATCCAAGTTAGTTGTATTTTCACTCAGGTCGACAATCATATAACTATCACAAATACCAAAAGCATGTGAAAGAATTACTGTTAATTCTTTCTCCCATAAATTGATATTTTTATGATACAGTAGAGTCTTCCAATGTGCAAAGGGGTAATTGATTTGTGATGGTCCCCACAGATGCCTGTGAATTCTGGGGCTCTTGTTTCCTTGGTTCCTGCCCACTCACTCTGTGATATGCTTATCTTATCAGCATCTTTGAGCTGCTCTTATATTTCTTCCACTTCCTTGGCCTTAGCCTAAGTTTGGGACCCAGCTCCTTGTCTAAGTTATACTCTTACATAGGATGCTACTCACAGTGTACCAAAGGGCATAAGCTTCTTATGAAGGACTGTACTGATAATTGTTAAGCAGCTCAGGACTGGGCTAGGCATCCCAAAAGTGGGTAGAAAATTCAGCCCTAGAATAGCAAGCACCAAGTCCAGCAACAAATATTTAAAAACCCAAGAACCCTGCTAAGGTCTTGGCAGTAACAAGTACTAAACCAGTTCCTAGCAAGGTTCCCACAACAATGCATGACTTAAACTCACAGAATGTCCTAAGTAACATGATCTTTGGTGAAAATGAACTTGTAAGGAAAAATTACTGAGCATATGAGGAAAGGAAAGGACATAACAGAAGCAACAAGTGAAGGGGTTTCCATCAATGAATTAGCAGTGATAGAATTCCCTGAAAATGACTCTTTATATATTTAAAATGTTCAGAGATGAAGTAATACAACTAAAACACAAAATTC